AGACATCTGAAGACAGTCCTGTTTAGGGAAGTTTTTAATATTTAATGCTGTATTGCTAATGTTTTTAACACTTGATTGGGAGCCGCCCAGAGTGGCTGGGGAGACTCAGCCAGACGGGAGGGGTATAAATAATAATAAATAATAATAATAATAATAATAATAATAATAATAATAATAATAATTATTACCCCTCTCTCCTGCAGGCTTGTGCTCCCCCCAGCAGTGCCGGCATCATGTCCCATGTAGACTTCCTTTTCTTAATTGCAAGCAACACAAAGAGAAAAACAACTTTTATTGGTGATGGGGGGGAGTAGGACAAAATATTTCTCCCCTCATTCTCCCCGCCCACACCATTGGTGGGAGCTGGCAACAACAGGGGGGGGTGTAGGAATAGGGCATGCTGGGGGGAAGGAGCGAGTTGTGCGGGGTGGGGTGGGGTGGGGGACAGAAAGGCTGATTTCCTGTGTTGCTCTCTGCCCTCCATCACTAGCCATTGTGTGGTCCTGCAAAGGAAGGGAAAGCTTTGTCTTCCTGGGGCAGGCAAATAGGTATGGCTGGCTATGGTCTACCCACCTCTTCTCATAAGTTGAACCCGACCAGAACATAAGGAGGAGTCAAGCCCTGATGCTAATGTGGCCTCGGAGGGAGAGAGGATGAAGGCACCCACTCGGTGACTCTATGTCCCACCTAGCTTCTGCTTATTAGTAGAGGTTGACGGCCGTAGAAAGTCTTCTGGGTGACTGACAGGGCCGGATTTAGGTTTGATGAGACCCTAAGCTACAGAAGGTAATGGGGCCCTTTCTATGTCCAGCTGTCCTTTGTCAACAACAAATTGTTACTGTTTTTTGTGTTGAATATTTGCTGTATGGTCATTTATAGACCTAATAGGTATCTAAAGCCATTTGCAACCAGTTCCTGCAGAATGTAGGCACCCTAAATATAGAAATGAGCAAACCAGTGATATTTTAGGGAGTAGGCTAGCATTACTTACGTCATAGGAGCCTACACAACACAAAACACTGTTGCAGTATATAGGTTTTGTTTTATTTGTTTTTTTATCTTATATTTTGGAAATGTACATCCAGGGTTTTTTTCCCTTTACATTTTTTGGGGGCCCACAAGAGAGTGGGGTCCTAAGCTATAGTTTGTTTAGCTTATACGTAAATTCAGCACTGGGACATGGGTGGCGCTGTGGGTTATACCACAGAGCCTAGGACTTGCCGATCAGAAGGTCGGTGGTTCGAATCCCCATGGCGGGGTGAGCTCCCGTTGCTCGGTCCCTGCTCCTGCCCACCTAGCAGTTCGAAAGCACGTCAAAGTGCAAGTAGATAAATAGGTACCACTCCAGCGGGAAGGTAAATGGCGTTTCTGTCCGCTGCTCTGGTTTCACCAGAAGCGGCTTAGTCATGCTGGCCACATGACCCGGAAGCTGTACGCTGGCTCCCTCAGCCAATAAAGTGAGATGAGCGCTGCAACCCCAGAGTCGGTCACAACTGGACCTAATGGTCAGGGGTCCCTTTACCCTTTACCTAAATTCGGCACTGGTGACTGACAATGAGTGAAAGCGGTTGGGGGGTGCAAAATTGGGTTGTCACCAAGTGGGTACTGCGGTGACAACACAACTCTCCTCTCTCTCTTATGCTGCTTCCTTGTTGGGGCAGGACACTGTTTGCCACACCTCATTACCCAACCTGGCACCTGGGGCATGTGCCCCTTTTGGCTGCCTGCCCTTGATCCACACTGTTTAATTTAGTCACTCATTGAGAGTGCTAATTTAAATGGTTGGTTTTCGACAACCTTGTCTATGTTTTCTCAAATCAAAGTTTTCTAGATTCACAAGAATCATTCGTCAACCTATATTCAATCCATTGTGATTCAGACTTTTAGAACCAAGAGATCATAGAATTTGAAATATTTCTTTCATATTCCAAGTCTTTTAAATATATCATTTCAATTTGGGAGCATTTAGGAAACACAATGCTGTCATATAGTCAGTCTTTTCTCTGTCACTATCTATCTAAAGTTATTAGAGAATATTGTTCGTTCTGGCCTTAAATCATTCGATTGGGGAGCCTTGTTAATCCAGGTTAAATATTTTATATGAAGAGTTCATCTTTCTGTCCCTGCAACAGCTGGTGTGTTCAGCAAACACTTCTTTAAATTTTGCAATGCAGTTTTCCTTCCAAGTAATGTGTGCAAAAAATGCATATACTGGGATAAAGCGTGCATAGAAATATATATATTTGTGAAAACAACACACATAAATGATAAACACATTTTCTGGCCAATGAAAATATTGACATTATCCTGACAATATACTCTGTAAAGTCCCAGCAAGGATAACACAGAAAAAGGATGAAATAGGCAACAGTGACTATACATAAAAATGAATTTATCTGTAGTCTCGTAGGGGTGGGGAGAGGTGGGTTTTTTATATATAGTATATCTATCATTGAAAAACCAATGAAATTATAAATAAATAAAGACATGATATTAGGAGGAACAACTTTGCAAAAGCGTATTATCAGGCAATGTTGCTTTGCAAAAATGTTGTACATTAGGAGAAAGCAGCAATTCTTTAAAAATTTCAAACTGAAGTGCAAATGTGGAAAACTAAATTTAAGATTGGAAAAATGAGAAACTGTGGGGAGGAGAAACGAGAAACTGAAATGATTAGATTTGCCCATCGAAAGCACGTCAAAGTGCAAGTAGATAAATAGGTACCGCTCCGACGGGAAGGTAAACAGCATTTCCGTGCGCTGTTCTGGTTCGCCAGAAGCGGCTTAGTCATGCTGGCCATGTGACCCAGAAGCTGTACGCCGGCTCCCTCAGCCAATAAAGCGAGATGAGCACCGCAACCCCGGAGTCGTCCGTGACTGGACCTAATGGTCAGGGGTCCCTTTACCTTTACTGATCCATCTAGCTCAGTATTTGTCCCTGCACACATCAAACAGCAGCAACTCTCCAGAGATTCAGGCAGGAGTCTTTCCTACAAGCTATTATTATTATTATTATTATTATTATTATTATTATTACAACAATCATACCGTGGGTTGCGAACGTGATCCGTGCACACGCGTGACGCAATTCTGCACTTCTGGGCATGATGTAATTTTGTGTTTCTGCGCATGCGCAAGCGCCGAAACCCAGAAGTAACCTGTTCCACTACTTCCGGGTTCCGAGGTCCGCAACCCAAAAACGCGCAACCCGCAGCGTTCGTAACCCGAAGTATCCCTGTATTAGAATTTATATACCTCCTTATACCAGCAGGTCCCAGGGCGGTTCACAGAATAAAGTGATTAAGCGTGAGACTTTTTGCATGCCAAACATGTGCTCTACTACTGCACTTCAGCCCTTCCAACAGAAATCAGTTGGTTGACACCATAAAGGTATTTGACTCCAAAGTGCCGTGGAAATAAAAGGTTAACATATATTCTAGTGATAAAGCAAAATATCTACCCACTATGCCTCTCAAGGAGAAAAGTATAAAGCAATGTTTGCACAGTGTTCAACAATAAATTATGGGGAACTGAGAGGAACTGCCAGCCAATTAATTGCAAGTAATTTTCAAGCTGAAGGTAATTACTAGGCCGGAAGTTGGCCAAGCACAGGGGTTAGCAGGAATAATATTGTAATGTTTAATTCTCGTTCTCCTTCCCCCGCCCCAGTGCTGTTCTTGCATTGCTTGCAGCCTTTGGTGCAGAGAGTTGCTGGTTCATCCATCCTCCAAGCTGTTCTTGCAGAATAGACTTTGTTTTCCGAACACTTGCCTTGATTTCTCAATGGGCCAGAAAGATTTTCCTTTTTAAAAAAATATCTTTTTATTTGATTTTCAAAGAAAACAGAAATCATTAAAACAAACAGAAAAATGAAAAATAAAAAAGTAAACATGCAACAATAGCAACAAAAAACAAAGCAGTACTCAATCCAAATACCTGAAGTAGCGTCTCCACCCACATCGTTCTGCCTGGACACTGAGATTCAGTGCCAAGGGCCTTCTGGCAGTTCCCTCACTGCGAGAAGCCAAGTTACAGGGAACCAGGCAGAGGGCCTTCTCAGTAATGGCTTCCGCCCTGTGGAACACCCTCCCACCAGATGTCAAAGAAACTATCTGACTTTTAGAAGACATCTGAAGGCAGCCCTGTTTAGGGAAGCTTTTAATACTGGGTGAATCATTGCATTTTAATATTCTGCTGGAAGCTGCCCAGAGTGGCAGGGGAAACCCAGCCAGATGGGCGGGGTATAAATAATAAATTATTATTATAATATAATAATAATGAGATTACTCTGAATCTCTTTACTTCCCCCCATCCCATCCATGGGTCCTTTCTAATTTCAACTGCATATCCATGCTTCTCCAAGTTTCCATCATCCTAAATTATCTACATAATCAATTACATTACAAGTGTATTTAAAATCCTGCTAATGCTTTGTCCTGTTTACAATGATTTTGTATGTACATTATAAACATTTCCTATTCTTTTTAAAATTTCTTGTCTTCTTGATTTCTGAGCTTCCCAGTTAATTTTGCCATTTCGGCATAGTCCATTAACTTGGTTTGCCATTCTTCTCTGGTCGTAGCTGTCTCGTCCTTCCATCTCTGGGCTAATAGCATCCGGGCAGCCATTGTAGCATACATTCATGTAGCATCCTCTTTTGGAATCTCAGTACCTATAATTCCTAATGAAAAAGCTTCTGTTTTTTTAATAAAGGTTATTTTAAACATTTTTTTCATTTCATTATATATCATTTCCCATAATTTTTTAGTTACATTACAGTTCCACCACATATGGTAAAAGGTACCTTCATAAAGATTTTCCTTAAGAGCCAGGGGAATGGCCAGGTGAGCCCTTGCTCCATAAAGGCTGTGAAACAATACCCTGGTTCCAAGCAACACTTCGTCTATGATCTCCAGCTTACACACAAACATAGAATCATGTAGTTGGAAGGGACCCTGAGGATCATCCAGTCCAACCTCTACCGATACAGGGATATGCAGCTGTCCCTTACAGGGATCGAACCCGCAAACTTTGTGTTATCAGCACCATGTTCTAACCAACTAAGCTATCCAGGCTATAGACATCTGCACCCAGGTCAACAGGGGGCTTTTGTTTTCCTCACTGATTTGATTTATTGTATTTCTATGCTGCTTTTCATTCAAATGAATTTCAAAGCTGCTTGCAAACAATAAATAACAATAACGTAATAAAACACTGCAAACATCTCATAAATCATATGAAACAATTAACGAGTCATCAATAAAACAATTACAATCACAAAACACTATTAACAAAACAGTAATTAAAAAATAAGCCATATATCACATGTAAAACAAAAGTCATATTATTTGATTAACAAATCAATGCAGTATTTATAACCTATAAGACAATATTAACATTAACAAAATACCAACTTTAAAGATAAGATCAGCACTGTTAAGTTCATACACACACTGTCCATGCCCCCATGATTCACAATCTTTCTCTCTATTCAGTTCCTTAAAATACACATAAAATACACATAATGCCTATTGTTAAAACAGCTCAACAAGATGCTGTGCTGGGCCATGATGGAGACAGTGGGGCTCCCAGGCCTATTACCAGTGGTAAGGTGATGTTGACTCTGGGTAGCCTGCCTAGGCACCATTGATTAGGAGGTCTATTAAAAAGGTAAAGGGACCCCTGACCACTAGGCCCAGTCGTGGCCGACTCTGGGGTTGCGGCGCTCATCTTGCTTTATTGGCTGAGGGAGCTGGCGTACAGCTTCCTGGTCATGTGGCCAGCATGAGTAAGCCACTTCTGGCGAACCAGAGCAGTGCACGGAAACACCGTTTACCTTCCCACTGGAGTGGTACCTATTTATCTACTTGCACTTTTGATGTGCTATCAAACTGCTAGGTTGGCAGGAGCATGGACCAAGCAACGGGAGCTCACCCCATCGCAGGGATTCGAACCGCTGACCTTCTGATCAGCAAGTCCTAAGCTCTGTGGTTTAACCCACAGCACCACCCGCGTCCTTTAGGAAGTCTATTACCACTTGATTAAATCTGATACAAGCCTATTCCTTTGGCGCAGCGAGTTGTTGCTGCACTCAGTGTAGAGGCTGACCAGGAGGCAAGCTCACTGCAGAAGACACACTTTGCATGTTAGAATTGTTGCAATGGAATCCCTGATCTGGACCAGGGACATCCCGAATGCCTTTAGGGAGGTATTTTTATATGCAACGGCTGCAGCTTGGACTTTGGTGGCAAAGGGGTGGAAGGAAGAAGAAGTCCCGATAATAACGGATTGGCATAACAAGCTACAAGAATTTGATGAAATGGTGCAGTTGACAAATAGCCTGAGAGGCAATTCAAAACAAAAATTTATGGAAAAGTGGGATAGATATAAGATATATGTTCAAAAATACAGTAAAGGTTCGCTATCTATGCTAGCATTCAATTGACATTGAAGATAGACTGAGTTGAGAAATAAGACCAAGGGTACATATTGATATAGGAATGTATTAGATAAAATGTAAAGAAATATACAATAATAAGAGTACATTCATTTGGGGAAAAAAGGAATATACAACGGGATAGACAGGAAGTCCAAAATGTTGGTATATAAATGATTATGGAATAGTTTTTTGCCCTTGTTTTTTTCCCTTTTTTTCCTTTTAGTAGATAAACTTTGTATACATGTTGAAAATTATAGTATAATAAGCCTTGTGATGTAATATGATAATGTTTACCAATGTAACATAAGAACTTTAATAAATAAATAAAATTCAAAAAGAAAAGAAAAGAAAAGAAAAAAGGAATCCCTGGTCTGGACCTTGTGTTGAAAATAATTCTCTCCACCACAAGAATTGTGTTTCACACCTTTATTGGATACAGACTTAAAACTAGTTACATATTAAAATTGTAAGAGGAAAATACAAAGTAACACATTGCTCTGAAATAGTAGGCAATGTGGTTTAGTCCTTTATGCCGTTCAGTAAACTCTCCTCTCTCTGGTCCCAGAGAGAGATCCTAAGCTTGTTCATCATTGCAGACCTTCTCCGTTGCTACTGCTGTTGCTACCACTAGCCATTGCTGATGAAGCGCATGCAGACTTCTCAAGTCTCAACTTCCTCCTGTGAGACATCTGCAGCTCGGGTTTCCAGCAATGAGTCATCAGGTGGCCTAACACACTGAAATGGAAAAAAAACACCAATGTTCCGCATTCACCTAGAGTGAAACTGCTTGCTTAATGCAAACCTATCTGCTTTGCAAATGCAAACTTTTACATAAGTTTTAACTTCAGTGCATACAAACATTGCATTTAATGCATGTTAAACATAACTTTATCACAGCACTAAGCAAAGAGATTAACAAAAATATGAGCTGGAAATGAAGAAAGTTCAAGCAGAGTTTTAAACTGATAACACAGCCCCAAATTGCAAACCCCCAAATTCTATCAACTTTTTTTTTAATTAAAAAAAAATCTAACCTGTATTATTCCCTAAAACAGGAGCTTGGAGTAATTATAATCAAATACCCCCCTCCCCTCTGTATCTCCCTCTCCTTTTGTCTGTTTACAGGCCAGTTCTAACAATGTTAAGAGTTGGGTGAGACAGGATTGACTTTTCGAAGTGGTTTGTTAGAGATAAGTCACAGACAAAGCTGTCCCTTTCTTATCACATCATGTAGATGAGTAGAAGAAGTTTACCCCTCATGCCAGTTGCCAAAAAAAGGGGGCAAGGTCAGTCGCTTTCCTGCTCCACCCATAGATCAGCCTTCAGCTTGATTGAGCTGCATCCTTGTTAAGCAAAGGTTTCACAGAAAAGGTAGGCTTGACTCGTGAAACTGTGTCACAGTGTGTCAAATTCTGCACAAATCCACTTGACCCATGTACAAAACACACCACTTGGGTCATGTCAACTGGCTCTGAGCCAAAAACAGCATCATAGCAGAAGGAGAATCTATACTGCCATCCAGTATAGATAGACATAAAAAGGTAAAGGGACCCCTGACCGTTAGGTCCAGTTGTGGCCGACTCTGGGGTTGCGGCGCTCATCTCGCTTTATTGGCCGAGGGAGCCGGCATACAGCTTCCAGGTCATGTGGCCAGCATGACTAAGCCGCTTCTGGCAAACCAGAGCAGCGCACGGAAATGCCGTTTACCTTCCCGCTGGAGCGGTACTTATTTATGTACTTGCACTTTGATGTGCTTTCGAACTGATAGGTTGGCAGGAGCAGGGACCAAGCAACGGGAGCTCACCTCATCACGGGGATTCGAACCACCAACCTTCTGATCAGCAAGTCCTAGGCTCTGTGGTTTAACCCACAGCGCCACCTGCATCCCTATAGATAGACATACCCTCCAGCTATTATGAAGACCCCTAATTTGTTCTAGAGCAAGTTGTCAGTGCAGCTCCTCTCCCTAGCGAACGAAGAGAGCAGAGGATGCTTTTATGATGCTGTGATGAAGAGTTAAGTCAATTGAGACTCTAGTATTGCAATTTGAGGGCCCCGGGTGTGGAAATTTGCAAAGGCTTTAAGCTAGGGCTGGTGTTTGAAAATGTGTCAATGATTTAATACAGGCAAGTCAAACAGGACGGAATGGCTTTTTAAAAAATAAATAAATAAATCCACAACTGCGGAACATCTGGCTGGAGGAATATGCAGAGAAGATAACACGGCGCACAACTGCTTTTAATGATCCCATTTCCTTATTGAAGCAACAGATTAAAAAGGGCCCATTGCTTTCAAATGGCGGGAGAGATGTGCGGAATACCCATCAATTCCCGGCTCCGCGTTTTAGGGTTGGGGGGGGGGAGGGTGCCAGATGTCGTGTGAGCAGGGTGGGATTGATTACGTGGTGGGAAGGAATAATTTAGCACTGGGTTTTAGAAGAAAGTGAGGCAGCCCTGGGAAGGTTTTGATGTGGTCTCTTTGGTGGTGACAGGTGGAAGGTGTCACGCATGTGGGTTTTGAAGAAGAAAGGGGAGGCTTATGTCCAGGCATACAAGCAAGGTTTTAGCAGGCATATCATTGCTCATTAAGAGTCAATCCTTTTGCATGAGAAAGTGATTGGAAGAAAGCTTAAGGGGGCAGTTTTAGGGCCAGCTGCTGATCTCCACTTTCCTTAAAAAAAGTAGTAGTTCGTAGCTGACACAGTGGAGCATGTAGCTGCTACAATTTTACTACAATTTCAGCATTGGGGATACCATCCCATGACAGTCTCAACATCTGGAGCTTCCCAAAGCCAAAAAAGGGCTTGCTTGTTTACTTACTCACTGATTTATTTCTTTACAAAATATATCAGCTGCCTTTTCTTAGAGTGGTAGAAATTAAAAACACATGCAAACGAAACCACTACAAGCTATTCAAACACAGCATAAAGCATTGCATAAAACAGCAAACATTTCAGCTTTAAGAACACTTATTATTATTATTATTGTTATTATTGTTATTATTGTTATTATTATTATTATTATTTTCAGACAGCAAGGAAAAAACCATTCATGCTTATGGGACATTTCAAGTGCTAGTTTGTCAGAAAATGTAGCTTAAAATGCATATGTACATATGAGAACGTGAGCTCTGGGAAGACTAATGCACATCTGTGGTGCCACCAACAAACAGGCCCCGGGTTAGGGCCGGCCTTACTATTAGACAGAGTGAGGCAGCCACCCCACATAACTGATTATGCTTGTCATATGTATAAATTAATTTTTTAGAGACAATTACTGTAATTGAAATAGAAACACAATACACCACGGTGAGAAGACTGTGATCAGATTACAGTGCTGTCGATGGGCAAATTCAGGGCCTCCTCTTATTCTTCCTTCCTATGGCTGTTTGGGTGGTATTCTGCTAATGAGCCCCAGCAGCACATTCCACTTGTACAATGGGGCTTCCCCCTTCTGCCCACCCCCCTGAAATCGGCTTTTGGGGACCAGGAGAACCCCTATAGCAACACACAGGGGGAGAAGAGAGGGGATTGTTCTGTCTGTCAAAATGAAATCCTTGCACAGACTATCCATTCGGCATAGTGTGACGTTAAACTCCACCCACTGACAGGAATGGACCTAACTTAGTCACTTTCAT